TCTGCCAAGCACCTAGAAATGAGGCGGATGGGCTGGTGGGCTTTTCAATAGGACAGGCGACACAACTTTCCCTCTCAAAAGCTCATCTCTGCATAACCAAGTGAGAGAGTACACAACAATTAAGAAACATCTGTGGCTTCAAAATGAATATAACATATAAGAAATGCCCCTCAAGTCAGACAAACAATTCACATTACCTAGAACCTTCTCTTTTTGTTCTTTGCATCCCCTCACCACTAAAGCCCCAGCCTCAGGATCAAGCCTAGATCCTTGTCCAGGAGATTAGGAAAGGAAAGCTCCTAGGACATCTGAAAACATCTTAGCTTTTACAGTAATGAAATTGGTGGAACCTGCTCTCCTGCTTTGCCTTCAGCCAGACAAGAGAAGGACCTTGCTTGGATTCATCTTTTTTATAGTCATTACTTCTCTGTCTCTGTCTCTGTCTCTGTCTCTGTCTCTCTCTCATAAAACAGCTGGTGAGATAGCTCAGTAGGTAAGGTGCTTGTTGCCATGCCTGATGACCTGGTTCAATCCCTGAGACCTACATGGCGAAAGAAGAGTGAGAACTGACTCCCACAAGTTGTCCTGTGATCTACATCCATATGCATTGGTACCTACAGCCTTCCATCATAAGAGAAGCACAGTTTGAAAAGAAGTAGAAATAAAATTTAAATAACTGAACTGTTGGTAATTTATGGGTCATTTTTACTCAACAGTACGTGAACATGCTTTACTGTCCTGGATTCACCTGTCAACATATTTTCTTTGAAGTCAAGCTCACAATGCTTTGTTTGAACAAGAACTCCACTCTTCACATGGTGATGCAGGAGGTGAGCCTGGAGAGGGCAGGTTAACTCCTTCCAAGCACTGCCCATGGCTCTGCTTCCTACACAGTCATTTCCATGTAGTGAGAACTTTCATTCTTAATTGGATAAAATAAAATCAGTTGCCTCCCTGATTTTTGCTCAGTCACTGAGAATCTTCACTTATCTAAGGAAGAGGTAAGGGGAATAAACCAGTGGTATAACTGAAAAGATTTTTGTAATCATGGTCAGAAGACAACGGTACTGTTATCAGGACTGGGCATATCAGGCCAGTGGGTATTGCACAATTTGAGTCACAAATTATTGAGTGTGTGGTCATGATAATATTTACAACACTTTGTTCTTTTCACAGGACTCAAAGCTTTACTGTGTGTCATCATAGCATAGTTATGAACAAATAGACAGCATGGTTAATGACTTTTTTTTTAAAGGAGAAGAAAAAACAATCAACAACAAAAAGTATACTATGCAACCCTGACTGGCCTGGAACTTACTATGTAGACCAGGCTGGCTTCTGACTTGTGATTATCTTCCTGCCTCTGCCTCACAAATGCTGGAGTGACAGGTACCTCTTGCCATTCCAGGGTGTGCTAATTAATGCCTAGTTACACACACACACACACACACACACACACACACACACACACACACACACACAAATTTTTTTAAAAAAAGACAGACGTGGGGTTTTAAAGATTTTCTATGTATATGTACATGGGTGTGTCTGAGTGTGTGTTTATGAGGGTGGTGCCTTCCTTCAGTGGCTAGAAGGTATCAGAGCACATGGAGCCAGAGCCACACCACAGATGGTTCTGCATAGCCTACTGTGAGTGTTGGGAAGCAAATTCCAGTCTTCTGCAAAAGCAGTGTAAGCTTTTAATTGCCCAACCATCTCTCCAGCCCTAGCTTAGGGTTTCAATAAAGTGACTCAGTGCCATCTGTAGCCCGAGAATATCACAGGCACTGGAAGTTTGCAGAGCAGCCAACCTCAGCTTGTAGATGCATATCAAACATAAAACAAGCTTTCACTACAGTGAAGCAGATACAGAAACAATGTTGGAGATGTTGGGGAGATGGTTCTTGATCACAAAGAAATGCCAAGGATACATTAACAAAATAAATACATAGTGTACATTAAGTAAAGAAACACCTAGAATGCAACAAGTAAAGCTCCAACGCACATCCTCAATTTTATAGATAGAGAGGAATGGACTGGGAACCCTCCATTACATTTAGAGATGCAGTCATTAGCCAATCCTGGGCTTTGTTTCCAGTTTCCCTGACAGTTGTGGGTCCTCCAGTGACCTCTCTGCCTTTCTCTTCTTTAGTTTTTCCATCTGCGCAGTGGTTTTTGGAAGTAAATTAAAGGAGTACACTGTGCTTGGCCATTGAAAACAAATACATATAAAATATGTGTAAGGAATAAGCTCTTAGTTAATCCTTGTGAGTGACAACTTTTATATTTTTTATACTTTATAACTTTCAAACTATTAGCAGTAAAAATATACTGCTTTTGTAAAATTAGTCTCCCTAAAGGGTATGTAATGAAGTGATGGTGCCCTGGGTAGAATAAGTACTACCAGTAAAAAGTTTGTCTGTGGGGTAAGGATTTTAAGGACCCTGTGTTTTAACTTGGTTTGAAGCAGCCCCCACATGTCCTGCTTCACTGAAAGCTGGGTCTGGAACCAAGGTCTCTAGACTACACAAGGATAGATGCAGGAGTCAGAAGCATTGAGCCTCACATTTATGACTGTATATAGAGCTCATGTATACTAAGAGGGCGAAGAAGATACAGGGGCTATGAAAATTGGAAACAATTTACATATCTCCCAAGGATTCAGGTTTGGGAATACAGAAGCTGGTGAAAGAAGTAATGTTTGGTTGTGTATTTTCATAGACTTTGTTTGTTTGGAGGCAGGCTCTAACTACTTCCAGTGGGTGGAGTAGTATCTCTAACTCACTATCCTTGTACCTTGGTCATTAAAATTCTGAGATTATGGCTATGTGGCACCATGCCTGGCTAAGAATAGGTTTGATGAAATGAAAAACGCAAATTTGGTTGTGACTATTCTCAGGTTTTCAAAAGACTCCATTGAGTTTGGGCTATGGGGATTTTATAATCTATACCTAGTGCTACATGTCAGGGCAGTGGCAGGAAAAGGAAACGACTTGGTGGGTTTTGTGGAATTAAAATATGTAGGTCTGACAAACAAACTTTTCAGTGCTCAAAGAACAGACTGAAATGACAAATAGTCCAGGGATGCACTGAAAGGGGTCCAGCTGCAATTTTAAAAGGAGAAGAAAATGCTATAGAAGAATGAGACCATCTCAGTAAAGAGCCCCTGTTTCTCTTAACTCAGCTGTGGACAGTTCGAATTCAAAATGGAGATGGCAATGGGACAGAGATAATAGGAATATATACCTATATATCATAATGAATCCTGTGATTTTGAACGAATAATATATGGTAATAAAATGTTTTAAAGGATGGGCTAAGGGTGTGCCTCACTTGGTAGAGTGCTTGCTTAGCATGCACAAAGCACTGGATTTGATTCCTAGCACAACACAAACTTGGTGTGGAGGCAGGAAGACCAGAAGTTCAAGTTCACCTTCCACTACATAATTGAGTTTGAGGCCAGTCTAGGGGTACATGAGATGCTGTCACAAAAATTACATTAAAGGAAAAGAAGAAATTTGGGGCAAGATCAGAAGACATCAAGTCATACAGGAAACAAGAGGTCTTTTGGATTTTCCTAGGAAGACACTACCAGTGACTATAAAAGTAGTTTCTGAGATACAGCAGTACAGCAGATGGAATCTTAATTCAAGACACCAGCGTGTGCAGTGAGAGAATTAAGTGTTCCATGATAGCTGTGGAAGATGGCTGAGAAGACTCATGGTTTAGTCAAGATAAAGGACTCTATGAATATTTGAAAGCGGAAAGGAAGAGATGAAGAGATGAAAGCTTTGAGAAGGTAGAGAAGAAACCTGACCAAGTATGCTGAGAAGGTAATGGGGAAGAGATGAGGAGAAGCAAGAACTACTAGCAGTAAGCCCAGACAACTCTCTCCTGTGATTCTTGAACAGTCTGTGGGATTTGAGTGAAGAAATGATAGCAAACTGAGGTTTGAAATATTTTTATCACAGTGTAGCATTGTTTGAACCTCACCACAGTGCCCACATAGTACAGCTATCATCAAATCATGGCCTGAGTCATTGTTTGCTCTCTGCAGATCTCCCCTGATGGACCAAGCTGCAGGGTGGGAGGTAGCAAATGCACTCTCTTAACCACTGTGTCATGAATGAATGAATGAATGAGTCAGTCATTTCCCCTCGGAAAAAGAACTGACTATAACTCAGGATTTGCTTTTGTTTTCTGGAAGTGAGTAAAGCAGCTTAGCCAGGACACCACTTCTCCCAACACCATGTAGTCAGGGACTTTCAATTTTTCAGGAGTGCATTCCTAAAATCAAACAACACCAAACATCCCTCCACCTTCTCACAGTCTGATGTAGTCTTTAAAGCCCAGAGAAGAATGCTCCAAATATAGAATAAGAACAAATTAGAGGATAGGATGGTATGCAGAAAACTTCCTGTGCTGACAATGACAGCTTTTACTTCCTGCTCTGTGGAATGGGGATAAGGGTAAAAGGAGCTGTCTTCACAGCCGTAAAGTGCTCACTGTGTACTCTGGCCTCTGCATTGCTAACTGCAAACAACTTCTCATACTTCCTCCAGAAGTTTCATTCCCAAGTAGGTAAAAACAAAGTTTCACTGTACTCCTATGAGGTTATTGAGTAGCCTTATGCTGTTGTAGATTTGTCACCTAAGACACTACTACTCATCTGAAGCTCTAAGTGCCGGTATCTGGATGGTTCAGGGTAGAGGTGAACTCTAAAACACTGGCTGGTTGGCTGAATTAATCCTGCTTAAATTAATACTAATTAAAAAGCCTCACTGCCATGGCTTCCCTTCCCCTTCATAACAACCTTGTGAGATGGGTATTAGCCCCTTCATCAGTGAGACACCTAAGGCTTAGGGTTCAGTCGTTTGTCCTTGCCTAGTACCACCCAGCAACTTCAACTCATACCCAAAACCCTTGGATGCCCCATCCTTATCATTTTGATTACTCTCCCTGGTTCTGACTTTGCTTTTGCTGTCTCTTCCTCTCACCAGGAAAGGAGAAGAAGCCCTTGGCAGAATGGCATCTCATTGTGTTTCCAGCAACCGCCTGCTTCGTCTTATTAATTTTCTCATTCATCTGCAGAGTGTAGGTATTCTTTATACCCAAGGGCTGACTTTGCATTCTCATGTGCAGTCCTTACACATGGCTTATTATCAGATGGAATTTACAGTATGCTGTTTCACGATGCAATAAAACATGGCCTGCAGAAGCTAGACAGGACACAGCACAGTCCTCAGTCACCACACACTCCTCAAATTGGTTCACAATATTTTAATTTTTATAGAGGTTTTTGCCACTGTGTTTTTTTTCCTTTACAGCTTCCCCTTCCATACTTCCTTGTCTGTTGACATCTCCTATAAAAAGGCAGCAGTCCAGTCAAGTCTGAAGTCACCACACTGTTTTCACATGTGGGTCTCAATGGTCACTAGTGACCTCTGCCTGGCTTTCAGGTTACCAGTCCAGAACAACTGTCCTTAGGTCAAATGTAGATTTTCTAAAGCCTGCACAGATCTCATACCCTATCTTGCAAATGGCTGCATCCTCTGTCTCTGTCTCTGTCTCTGTCTCTGTCTCTGTCTCTCTCTCTCTCTCTCTCTCTCTCTCTCTCTCTCTGTGTGTGTGTGTGTGTGTGTCTTTCTCTCTCTCTCTCATTTACTAAGGAAAAGTTCTGTGTTAGCCTAAAAACTTAGGAAATAACTTCCATATTAAAGGGTATTACTCATTAACATGTTATATTTAAAAGCCTGTGGGTGATGGGCAGCAGTTCAAAGGAAGGGGAAAGATGAGAAGGAACTGTGGATTTGGCATAGTTGAAGGAGGAAAGCTAGAATGAACAGTGAATGAGAAACCAAACAAAGGATGCTGCTAACCTGTCTTCAGAAGTCAGGCCTGGCAATGAGCCCAATGTGAAACAGTTAGGACTTCCTCTTCCCTGGAGACCTCAGAAGCCACATGCCAGCCTGGCAGCATTCCAAGGTTTTCAATTATATTCCAAGGTTTTCAATTATGAAGATGTTTAACAATCTTAGCCAACACAGCTACACGTGGAACTAACTCGGTCAATGTAGGAGTAGAAATCTAGGCAAGAGGACTGTTTATGCTCACCCAATTCCTTCCCTGTTTTCAGGTGTCACATATGGATCAAGTTATTTCCACCAGTTCCGGCCCCTAAGAGTAACATCAAAGATCTCCTTGTGGTGACTGACTATGAGGTAATGTTTAAAGACACAAAGAGGTGATACTCTAAGTGCCCTGGGATGAATCTCAAGCTCTCTCTATATATACATGCACCAGTCAACACAATATATATATGTATATCCCTCCCCCTTCTGTGCATGGTGTGTGTGCAATTATAGATGTTATTATTGTCTCTACATTTAGGGAAAGTCTTATTCCATCACAAGGTCTCTTACCAGTTAAACTTGAATTTCCATTTCATACCCATCATCTTTTAACTGATCTCTGGTAATTTCTTCAACAACAGGAATCTTAAGTTCCTTTTTTGCAGATAAGAAACGTAGATGAGATCCGGACAAAAGAATATCATCACAATTACTACAGCTTTGTTGTAAAACTTGACAGGATGTAGGCTGAGGTCTCCCAAAGTGATCTTCCTTCAATATATTTTAGTTAAGTCTGGAATTATTACATACAGTTTAGAGCTCACCTGCCACTTTCCATAAGGGGCAAAAGAGGGTGAGAGGGGATGGGGGAAGGTAGACAGCTGGATTTTTTTTTTTGACAAGTTATCACTATATAGCTCCTGGCTTGGCTAAAACTTGCTATGTAGACCAAGATGGCATTAGATTCATAGATCCACTTGACTGTATTAAAAACAGAAAGCTGGCAGTCTGTGGTAAATTTGAGCTCTGTGGTTAACTCAGAGGAAAAAACGACATCTTAATACTATTATCAGCCTTTCCACATATTGAGGTCTTCTTTAGTTTCTTTCAACAACATTTCAAGATTTTCTGTGTATAATTGCATTTTATTGCTCTTATCTATCAGTCAAGTGGCTATTGAAATATAGGACTGCAAAATCTTCCTATAAAGAAATAATAAACATTTAAGACAGAATTGTTTGTTATGTGGAGTGTGTCCACATAATATGTACTGATGAATCCAAAAAGAGATAACAAGCCAGACTGGGTTTCATTCACTGACCTCTGATTTAGATCAGAAAAAAAAAAATAACAGACTTAGAAGTTTCTTCAGCAGATGTGGATGAAGCATCTCACGGCCAGTTACAGGCAATGACAGGCTGATGAAAAATTCATCAAAATGGTTAATTTCAGTAAACCCCCAAATTTCTTTAGAGTCCTTTGCAGTTTGAATTTGGGATGATTTATAGGCAGTAGGCGACTAAACTACTGAAGTAAAGAACTGAGGCTGGCCAGAGAGTCAGGGTACCCTGTATTTGTTCCTTGTATTCTTCATTGAGGGAACAGCCTACCCATGCTGTCCAATCTGTAGCTCTTTGGAAAAGAGCAGGCCCTGTGTGGATCTACTTCTGTTCATCTGAGTGTGCACTGTTCATTCCTCTTTGTTGTAGTAGCGGAAAACACACTGAAGTTAAACATGATGCTTCAGTCATTTTGTCCTGTTCTCTTAATGGAACATTTGAAGGCTGGTATCTAATTTCCCTACAGAGCCTGGAAGGATTCTGTTAATATTCTGAGGCTGGTGGATGAAACTGGCTTAAAAGCTTACTTTCTGAGCTTCTGGTTTGTATTAATTAAAATCAAGTCATGTGTGTAGAATAATGACTTAGGGTAGACAGGCTGCTTTCAGAGTATGCAAAGGATTAATGTCAGCATTGCCTGGCTTCTCAGAATAACTTACTCTGTGCACCCATTACAGAGTTTTACATGAAAGATTGTGGGAAAGAGAGAGGGAGGTGAGACAGACTTGGGGGATTAAGGACTGAAACATGTAGTTTTGTATGGTGTTGCCAGTACTCTGGCCTAAAGTTTTAGCCCAAGATAACATGTGAGCAAGTAGACAGCTGGGTCACATGCAACAGTGTGTTCCAGCCATCCATTCCACCCATGGGGACCCTGACACACAAAAAAGGCCCATTAGTGCTATCAGCACCATGACCCCTGGGAAGCACCTGACTAGTGGAAAATGAGGCTTTCTACTTTGACAGCTGATCCTTCACAGTGAGGGTAGTGTGTCAAGACCCATGGTGGATGTCAAAAGCTGTGATATTCAAGCCTGATGAACAATGGTACAGTATTTGCTTAGACTCTACACATTCTGCACCACACTATAAATCCTCTTAAAATTACTTCAAATCAGCACATTGCAAATGTTGTGTGGGTGGCTATTACACTGCAGAGTCTGAGCAATAACAGCAAGAACACTTGTTTGAACACACAGATGCAAAGCAGTGGATTTAGGGGCTCACTGTGACTTGCACCTCCACATTTGGTAGGAATGCTCAAAGGCATGGGGCTTGGAAGACAGCGGTCATCCTGGAGCTGTTGCTAGGAAAGTTTTTCTTCAGACTTCAGCTGAGAGATTATTTTTACAACATTCAATAGACAGTTAACATTTTGGGGGTCTTTTGGTTTGTTTGTTTAGATTTCACTCCAAGTTTTCAAACTTATTAGAGATGAGTTTCAAGTTGACTTTTTCCAGTGGTATCCAGAGACGATTCTCCCGTACATTATGCCCACAATAAACATATAAAGTATGCCTTTCAGGAACCATGTCTGCTGTGTTTCTCAGATGATGCCCAATATATAGCACAGCATCTAGAGCGGGATGGGTGTTAAAAATGTGCTGGATGGGTACATAAGGGAAAAGAAGACAATCTTTTATAGGTGACATTTTAGCACAATTTCTAATTAGTATTAGCTTTATGTGTTATATCCAAAATTATATTAAAAACAAATGCTCCAATTTACTAGAATCCTTTTATTTCTTGAGATATGGTCCTATATAGCACAGGGAAGCCTCAAACTGGATATGTAGCTATGTATTACCTTGAATTTCTGACCTTCCTGCCTTCCCCTCCTAAGTGCTGAGATTATAGACAAGAACATCCACACTTGGTTTATTCAGTCCTGAGAGTCCAGGGCTTTGTGCATCTAGGCAAGCACTCTACCAACTGAACTACATCTCTAGCCTCAAATTTATAATATTGTAATTGGTGAGTGGGATAGGATAGAAATATTAAAAAGAATCACATCCAACTGGAGGTGTATCTCCTGAGGAGGATGCCAACCTAACATGTACAAGGATTTGGGTTCAATCCCCAGAACAAAACCATGACCCCCCAAATACAAAATAGACCTAAAATACTATATGCAGTTATAAAGAAAAAAATTCATATGCTTATTCAAGGGCTAGGGGGAACATATCTCATTGGCAGAACAACAATAGTAGTAGTAGTTGTAGCAATAGAAGTAGTAGTAGATTTTATAAAGTTGTGTGTCCCTGTTACTTCATCATGAATGTAAAGAACACTTTATTGTTAAAAAGAATTGAGGAGAAGCAGTAAGGTATGTTTGTAAGATAAGTCCATGGATAGTTTTTCTCCTTCCCATTTAAGTTTTCTTATTTGCTAAACATGCTGTTGTTATTTAAAAGTCACTTCAAACCAATTTTTAAAAACAAAACCAAAAAAAAAAAAAACTAAAGAGATGAGATGTTCTCTAAAAGACACGTAAGGGAGATATTTTGTTTTGCAGAAAGCTGCTTGGAATGAAACCAAAATTGAAGTTGTGAGTTGTGTGGAAGAAGCTGGATTTGAAGTCATGGAAAGTTCCGTCTTTTGATGGCGTTGTGACATTCTGAAAAGAATTTATGCAGGACTCCATGATAAAAGCAAGGACTGCTATTTCTTGGCAAGGAGGAATTGCAAATGAACACACAACACCCAATTGGGTTGCAAGGCAATACATCCAGACACATGAGTCTCCCATCTCTTAAAGAGGACAAGCCTCATCAAAACCCCTTGCTGACAGCAGAATAATGGGTTCATCTGAGCAGAGGCCTTGTTTTCCCACCCAGAGTACATAAAAATATCACCTGGCTTGCTTATACAGGCCAGTCTTTGCAATTTGCATGACTTACCTTGAACGCTTTGCACAGGAGAGAGTTTTTCAAGCTAATGTCACATGTTTACTTTGGTTTGAGCTGCCAGTGGTAGCACTTTCAACTACAGTGACCGGAAGAAAGAATGGGACCCATCCAGAGTGAACCTAAATTCAAGACTGTCTTTCCCACAGCCATAATTTCATGGTGCTCCTTTCCTTCTGAGTTCTAGAATACTTTTCTTTCAAGAACTATGCCTGCATGCTGAGGTGTGGGATGATGTGATGTGGAAGTGGAAACAAAGACTATGTCTGGTTCTAAACACCTGTCCCAGGAAGCATCTAAGCCAGACTACAAACTACCTGAAAACGTGCACTAAGACATCACTCCTGGGGCTGAGGAGATGGTGAAGAAGCATAAGGGCCCAAAACTGGAACAAAAACAGTGCAAGCAGCATGTGTCCATAATCCTAGTGCTGGGAAACAAAGAGGCTCCATGAGAATTGCTGGCCAGTCAGTTTAGCAAATTGGTGGTTTCTAGGTTCAATGAGAGATACAGTCTCAAAAATTTAATGTAGAAAGTGACTGTGGAGAACCCTTAACACTGATCTCTGGTCTACATACACATATCCATGTACACACATGAACACACATGAACACACACACACACACACACACACACACACACACACACACACACACTAAAAACATCATCCCCTATTAAGAGAGAAGACAGGAGTTTGTTCAAGGTTCACATTCTTCAAGGTTCCCTTGGTACTATAGAAATAAACTCAGAGAGACATTGGCCATAATTCAGCTGTGGAGGTGATTGCTAGATCTAGAATGTACTTCCTGAAGAGATGTTTGATGCAAGAGCATTCATAGTCACTTTCTGGTCAACTATTCTCTCAAGTTAAGGGTTTCCTGTAAGTCATAACAATAAACATTACAATGGTATAGGAATGTATTCTCTCAATATCTTCACATATGAGGCTGTATCTATAGGCCTTTGTATTGGGCAATGGGCTGAAAGTAGAAACAAGTACAACTATGCTCTGGGAGGAATAGAAGGGACCCTAATGGTGTTGGTTTTACATATTTCTGGGGCAAGGAGCTTGAGACACTGGAAGGAGATGTTGGTGCCTAAAATCTATATTATGGCCTACTTTTATATACTTTATAGAGCTGACTTAGTGAGTTTTGATACTCTGGGTGAGGTGTACATGGAGTACCAAATACCTCTTACATGGCTTTTCTGATATAGCACATAACCACCATTCTGTGCTCAGAATAGAAGGTACAGCAGTCATGGACATCTGCCAACATTGGACCTTCTCTGAAGGCCAGAGTACTATAGAAAATTTCTCACTGTTTCTCTGGTCTTCACAAATCTGCAATGTGTCATATTCAAATATATTACAGTCCCCAAGTTAAAGATACAGTACATGAGGATGACAAAGGTCACTAGTCAGGAAAGGGCACAGCAAATGAGCTGAATATCAGACTCAGCAGACCTCTGTAATACAGAGGTGAATAGCACATAAAAACAAGTTGGGGGCTAGAGAGATGGCTCAGGGGTTAAGAGCACTTGAGTATTCTTCCAGAGGTCCGTGTTCAATTCCCAGCAACCACATGGTGACTCACACCCATCTGTAATGGGATCAGATTGCTTCTTCTGGTGTGCATAAAGACAGAGAGCTAACATACATAGAATACATGAATAAATAAATAAATAAATAGGAAAGCTGAAGTTTGCTTTAGGGGTTAGACCAGGAAGTTGAGGCCCATGGGAGTGTTGGTATAATGGGAAAAATGTTTATTTGATAACTAACTGACCAAGAATCTATGAAAACTGGTTCTAAAGAATCTCTATAATGGGCACTGGTCTTGGGTGGACAGTCAAAAGTTTGCATGGTCAGCAGTTGTCATGTATGGCTCATGTTGCTGGTCTGCATACCACATTTTGATAAGTTATCAACATCACAACTTGAAGGCTGCCCAATTAAAGAATAATGGGTGGAAACAAGGAATCCCAAGAATTCTCTGCCTCTCATCTTGCAAGGGAAGTCTAGAAACACCAGTTTGGAAACCTACCTCTACCTAGGAGGTAGTTGCCCTCTTTCAAGGCCAGTTGTTCATTTTTGCATGTGTATGTAGTTCTCATTTCAGGGAGGCTTCTCTGGACTCAGAAACCTACAATCCTCTGGGTTTCTCGGGTCTCCTGCCCCATCCCTGGGCTGGTGCTAGCATCTAATCTTGTGCATGTGTAAGAAGCAACACAAAGCAGTTCATGTGGCCCTGTCAGCATGGTGCAGACTTACTCTCCCTGATGCTTAGATTGTGACAAATTCTTTACAAATCCATAACCAACTTTATCTTATCCATGAAGGCTTAAAACACAGTTGGTAGAGCATGCCTCCGGAGTCTCATTGTGGTGGAAGATGTACCCAATAGTTTAGCTGCCTCCTGTTTGATGCTCCAGGAGTGCTAACCTTCTGCATACGAAATGCATCTTTCTATTTGCATGAACTACATAGACCAGTACCTAACCCTTAAGAATTGCATATGGTCCTAGGGCTGCAGAGATGACCCAGAGGTTAAGAGCACTGGCTGCCCTTCCAGAGTATCTGGGTTTGATTCTCAGCACTCACATAGTGGTTCACAGCCATCTGAAACTCCTTTCCCAGGGGATCTGACCCCCCACTTATGGCTTCTGTGTGCACTAGCATGCAAGTGGTACACAGACATATGTTTC